TAAAGATAACAGTGTCCAGCTCCATTCATGTTCCTGTAAAGGACATGATCTCATTCTTTATCATGGCAACATAGTATTCCATGGTGTATATGTACCACATTTTCTTTATCAGTATACCCCTGATGGGCCTTCAGGTTGATTCCATTTCTTTGCTATTGTGAATATGCTTCAATGGACACATGTGTCCATGTGTCTGTAACAGCATGGTTTATATTCCTTTAGGTATATACCCAGTAACAGGATTGCTGGGTTAAATGGTATTTCTGTTTTCAGAAGTCTTTTAAGGAATTGCCACACTGCTTTACACAATGTCTGAACAAATTTATACTCCCACCAATGGTGTATAAGCATTCTTTTTTCTCCACAACTTTGCCAGCATCTGTTATTTTTTGACTTTTTAATCATAGATATTTTAAGTGATGTGAGATGGTATGTCTTTGTGGTTTTGATTTGCATTTCTCTAATGACCAGTGACACTGAGCTTTTTTCAGATGCTTGGCGGCCACATATGTGTCTTCTTTTGAATAGTGCCTGTTCATGTCCTTTAACCGCTTTTTGTGGCATTGTTTGTTTTGTTCTTGTAGATTCATTTAAGTTCCTTATAGATTCTGAATATTAGACCTTTGTTTGATGTGTAGTTTTCAAAACTTTTCTCCCATTCTGTAGGTTATTTGTTTACTCTGTTGATAGCTTATTATACTGTGCAGAATCTTTTTAGTTTAATTAGATCCCATTTGTCAATTTTTGCTTTTGCTACAATGGCTCTTGGCATCTTTATTATGAAATCTTTGCCCCTGCCTATGTCCTGAATGGTATTGCCTAGATTGCCTTCCAGCATTTTTATATTTTGGGTTTGCATTTAAGTATTTGATCCACCTTTAGTTATTTTTGTATATGATGTAGAAAGTTGCAATCTTCTACATATGGTTAGCCAGTTATCCCAATGACATTTGTTTAATAGGGTATCTTTTCCCCATTGCTTGCTTTTATCAGCTTTGCCAAAGATCAGATGGTTGTAGGCATGTGGCCTTATTTCTGGGCTCTCTATTTTGTTCCATTTATTTATGGGTCTTTTTTGTACCAGTACCACACTGTTTGGTTACTGTATCCCTGTGGTATGGTTTGAAGTTGGGCAATGTGATAGCTCCAACTTTGTTTTTTTTTTTTTTTTTCTTTTAAATTAGGATTTCTTGGGCTATTTGGGCTTTTTTATTTGTTTATTTCACATGAATTTTAAAATAGTTTTATCTGATTCTGTGAAGAATGTCATTGGTAGCTTCATAGGAATAGTGTTGAAGCTGTAAATTGCTCTAGTCAGGATGGCCATTTTGTTTTTTATCCATGAGCATGGAATGTATTTCCATCTTTTTATAGCAGCTCTTATTTCTTTGGGCAGTGTTTTGTAATTCTCATTGTAGAGACCTTCCAACTCCTTGGTTAGCTGTATTCCTATGTATTTTATTCTTTTTGTGGCAATTGTGAATGGAATTGACTTCCTGATTTGGCTCTTGGCTTGGTCATTGTTAATGTATAGAAAGGCTAGTGATTTTTATGCATTGATTTTGTATCCTGAAACTTTGCTGAAATTGTTTATCAACTGAAGGAGCTTTTAAGACTTGCTTACGGTGATTTCCAGATATAGAAAACAGAAATACTTTGATTTTCTCTCTTCCTATTTGGATGCCCTTTATTTCTTTCTCTTACCTGATTGCTCTGGCCAGGACTTCCAATGCTATATTGAATAGGTGTGGTGAGAGAGGGCATCCTTGTCTCGTGCTGGTTTTCAAGAAGAATGCTAATAGGTTTTCCCTATTCATCCGCAGTATGATGTTGACTGCGGATTTGTCATAGATGGCTCATATTATTTTGAGGCAGTGTCTTTAAATAGCTAGTTTGTTGAGAGATTTTAACATGAAGTGATGTTGAATTTCATCAAAAAAGTTTTTGCACATATTGAAATAATCATGCGGTTTCTATCATTAGCGCTGTATATATGATGAATCACATTTATCGATGTGCATATGTTGAACCGACTTTGTATCTCAGGGCTAAAGACTACTTGATCAAGCTGGATTAGCTTTGTGATGTGTTGCTGGATTTGGTTTGCTAATATTCTGTTGAAAATTTTTGCATCAATGTTCAAGGATATTTGCCTGAAATTTTCTTTTTTGTTGTTGTTGTATGCCTAACAGGTTTGGGCTTCAGGATGATGCTGGCCTCATAAAATGAGCTGGGGTTGAATCCCTCCTCAATTTTTTGGAGTGGAGTAGCTGCAGTAGGAGTGGTACCAGCTCTTCTTTGTGCATCTGATAGAATCATCTGTTCCAGGGCTTTTCTTGTTTGAGAGGCTACTTATTACTGGATCATTTTCGAGCTTATCACTAATCTCTTCAGGAAATCAGGTTTTTTTTCCTTGTTCAGTCTTGGGAGGGCATAAAACAATTATTGGCAAATGCAGAAAAACAAAATTATATCTATCACTCTCAGACCACAAAGGATTATAAATAGATTTCAAGACTAAGAAAATAGCTGAAAATAATGGAATTACATGCAAATTAAGCAACCTGTTCCTGAACGACTTTTTGGCAAATAATGAAATTAAGCCAAAAATAAAATAGTTCTTTGAGAACAGAGATACAATATACCAGAATCTCGGAGACACAGCTAAGATAGTGCAAAGAGAGAAATTTATACACTAAATGCCTACATCAAACAGTTTGAAAGATCTTAAATTAACAACCTAACATCACAACTAAAAGAACCAGAGAACCAAGAGCAAACCAACCCCAAATCTAGAGGAAGACAGGAAATAACCAAGATCAGAGCTAACCGAAGGATATTAAGACAAAATATCATTCAAAAGATTAATGAATCCAGGAGCCGGTTTTGTGAAAAAATTAAAAAGGTAGACCACTAGCTAGACAAATGAAGAAGACAAGAGAGAAGATCCAAATAAGCAGTTAGAAACAACAAAGGGGATATTATCACTCACCCTACAGAAATACAAATAATCATCAAAAACTACTGTGAACACCTCTATGCACACAAACTAGAAAGTCTAAAGGAAACGGCTAACTTCCTAGACTGCTCATTGTCTTAGGCAAAGTAGAGTAGTCATACTTTATTTGAGGGCTCTCTGAGCAGGATCCTATAAATTCCTGCATTTCTCTCAACTCTGTGTCTCCCTTCCCAGAATACAAAGCCCCTTCTGTGATGCCTCCTTTGCTTCTTTTGGTTATATGTGTTTTATATTTGAACCTATGGCTGTAGAGAATCCCAAGAAATAGAAAAAGCTAATCCAAGGTCTGAAGAAGACAGATGAGACCTTTGGATAAATATATTTTCACAAGTTGAGAAGATAAGAAGAACTCAAAAATCCCCTGGAGAAGCAGCCCCTAAGCATTGCAAGGGGTTCAGACCTCTATTGGAGTATATCAGCAGCAAAATTTCTATGTTCTTAATCTCTCTCTCTCTCTCTCTCTCTCTCTCTGTGTGTGTGTTTATGTGTGTGTGTGTGTGTGTGTGTCTACAGAGCAGTGGTGTCATTATTGCTCACTGCAGCCTTGAACTCCTGGGCTCAAGTCATCCTCTCACTTCGGCCTCCTGGATTTCTGGGACTACAGATGCAAGCCACTGTGCCCAGCTTGCCTCTTTATTTGTGTTTTAATTGGCCAATTTGGTTTTGGGCCTCTTGTTGTTTTTAATTATTTTTCACCTCTGACTTGACCTCCAAGTAGTCAAATATTTGTCTTAATGGGAGACTTTCTCCTATTGCCATTTATTAAATTCTTATAAACAAATAAGAAAGAAGACTCCCAGAAATATGTGGAGAGACTAAGGTTAGAATTGAGCAAGGCCTGAAACAACTAATCTAGTTGAAGGAATGTTGACTGACTGAGAAACTATGAAGAGAATGAAACACCTGCATTTTTTTATATTAAACTTTGTAGTTGTTCAAAATTCTTCCTTTTCCCTTTTTGTGATATAATTATACATTTTTTATCTTGTGTCTTAGAATGTTTCCTGTGGGAGAAATGAAATGATACACATCTCATTGATCTAGTTTGGGCATGTGATTTTCTTGAGCTAGACAAATATGACTTCATGTGGCATATGCAACATTCCAGCAAAAACTCTACCAGCCAAAGAGTGTTTCTCCAAGCTCTCTTGGTGTTATGAAAAAGGTATATCTCAAATAGGAGTTCCACCATAGACTGGTTATAAACCAGTAAGACAGTTATCACACACTTTGAACCAACTTGAAGCTAAAATTGTCAGCGGGAGCTAGAAATGAACCCTTATTTTTGAGGCCTAAAGCATGAGGAATTTAACATTTTTAATTTTCTCAGCCCTGCCTGCAAAGTTTACCAATACTAACTTTTTAGAAATCTTAGGAATCAATCTTCCAGTATTCTAGAAGATTTTTTTTTCTAAAATACATTCTAGAAGATGTATTTTTTCTATCTTATTAATGTAATATATTTTAGTTTAAAAATATAAAGCATATGTGTATATATATGTACAAATAAAATGTATGTGTATGCATGCGTATGTGAATATATGATATATACAGATACACATATATTCATATAATTTATATGCTTTTATAACCTGTTTTTCATTTTATTACATACCCCATATGTCCATAGGTATAATATACTTCAAAAATGCTATCATTAATAGTTGTACACAGTTTCACAAAAGTTCCATAAAATTTTATTTTACAGTCCTTTGATATTTAGGCTGTTTTAAGGACTTCACTAATTTTAAATAATGCTGTCATACACATATTTTTATGATTTTCCTTACAGTAAATGTCTATAAATATAATTACTTGATAAGAAAATGTTAACAGCATGTAATGAATGTGCTCGAGAAATGCATCTCACCTCATTGTGTGGACAGAAGCTTAACGGAGCCTCACTCTGGTCTTTGCTTCTCATATCAAATTCAAAAAATGATTACAACAGGAATATTAGAGTTTTCCTCTTATGAGTTCTTTAAAATTTTTTATGGTTTTAGGTCTTAGTTTAAATCTTTAACCCCTCTTGAATTTACTTTTGTTTATGGTGTAATACAAGGGTCTGATTTTCTTTCATTTTGAGGGTTCCACCCTCTTAGATCATAAAATTCTTCGATACACCCTTCTATCATCACCGACTACATGCCTTGATTTCAGAATCTTGCCAACTAGATTCAGAATTTGAGTAGAAGAGGGGACAAGGGCCACTTGAGACTCATATTTTATTTCTAGAATCTAGCATCTACCTACCTGGCTATTGAACAAGTAAATGAAGTAAAGGTTGTTGATAGTAACACTATGCTAATAACTGCAGAGCCAGAAACACCATAAGGGGCAAGATAAGGGAGCCAACAGACCTCTAATCACTTCCTGAATACCAGTCCTAAACACAGGAGGAAGAATGGGACTTCCATTTGAGGTGGGCCTATGACAGGGTCATAAGACAGCAGTGAATATTAAGCTACTAAAAGCCCCCTTTCACATTCTTCTCAGTCCTATGTTTTCTTCTTTTCCTTTCTTTCTTTTTTTTTTTTTGAGATGAAGTTTCACTCTTTTTTCCCCAGACTGGAGTGCCATGGCGTGATCTCGACTCATCGCAAACTCCACCTCTTGGATTCAAGCAATTCTCCTGCCTCAGCCTCCCGAGTAGCTGAGATTACAGGCATGTGCCACCGTGCTCGGCTAATTTTGTATTTTTAGTACACACAGGCTTTCTTCATGTTGGTCAGGCTGGTCTCAAACTCCCAACCTCAGGTGATCTGCCCACCTAGGTCTCCCAAAGTGCTGGGATTACAGGCGTTAGCCACTGCTCCTGGTGAATCCTACATTTTATTTTCTTTCTTTTTTTTTAAATTGTACTTTAGGTTCTGGGGTTACATGTGCTGATCATGCAGGATCATCAGATAGGTACATACTTGACCAGGTGGTTTGCTTCCTCTATCCCCCCATCACCTGCAACTGGCATTTCTCCCCATGTTATCCCTTCCAGCCTCCCCTCCCCATGCTGTCCCTCCCTTAGCACCCCATACCCTGCACTGACCCCAGTGTGTAATGCTCCCCTCCCTGTGTTCATGTGTTCTTATCGTTCAACACCGGAGCTGTCTCTCTTCGACTATCTTGTCCTAGTCCTACATTTTCACACTAAGCTCAGTCCTTCCAAAGCAGACTGTGAAAGAGTGAAAGTTCCAGGAGATCAGCACTGCCGATTCTGGGTCGATGTTAGCGGGGGAGGCAGGGAACAAGGACTCACAGACAGCAGAGTCAAATCGTGACCGTTTTTCCTTCTTCAAGTAGATCTCTGTAAGACAACAGAGACAACTAAGACTGAGTGGCCAAGTGAGGAGGGAACTTGAAGGGAACACTTTAGGGTAAAAGTAATCTCTTTAATCAAGAGAATGGAGTGTAGTCAAGGCTGAGAGATGCAGGGTAAGCAAATGGATAGTGAAAAGACATTCACAAGGAAAGCTAAAACAATATGTAATGTAAAATAAAATACAGCAAAATTTTAACTTCCAAATCCAGCCTCCACTTGAATCCTTTTCTGAGGGGTGAATAAGGCATAGGCATCAGGGGCTGCTGTCAAGGTGCACTAGCTGCTTGCAGCCTCACCTTCTTTCATGGAGTTAAAGATGTAGTGTATTTTCCCAAGGTTTGAACTAGTTCATTTCTTTATATTTTCAATGCACCTACTTCCCACATGCCCTTTTGAGTAAAATATTCAGAAATAATTTAAATACACCATTGCAATGAAAATAAATGTTTTTTATTAGGCAGAATCCAGTTGCTCAAGGCCCTCCATAATATCCCCAAATTTAATAGTTGGACTTTGGGAACAAAGGAACCTTTAATAGAAATTGGACAGCAAGAAAGGGAGCTTAGTGGTACTTGTGAGCCAGGGCATTAGCCACACCAGCCACCACTTTCTGATAGGCAGCCTGCACTACCGGGGTGAATTCTTTGCCGAAGTGATGGGCCAGCACACACACCAGCACGTTGCCCAGGAGCTGTGGGAGGGAGACAAGAGGTATGAACATGATTAGCAAAAGGGCCTCGCTTGGACTCAGAATACTACAGCTTTATCTCGACCATAAAATAAAACAGAATGATAGCTTGATTTTAGCTGCTATTAGCAATAAGAAACCTCTTACATCAGCTACCATTTATATGCAGAAATATTCTTTGCTATTGTCTTAACCCAGGAATTATTGCTGTCATTCTTTAGAATGGTGTAAAAAAGCATGATACAGTGTATGATTCTTGCCTTGAAGGAAAGAGATTAGGGAAACTGTTAGGAATAAGATAAACAAATGTGAATTAAAAGAAGAAAGCAGTCTGAAACACGACAAATGCAAAATTTCCCTGATTTGGTCAATACGCAATGCATACACATGTTAAAACATCATGCTTTAACCCATAAATATGTATAGTGATTATGTGTCATTAAAAATAAAAGCAAATAAAGTAGGTAGATTATGAATATGTAAATAAGCACACATATATACCAAAGAGTAATGTACTAGGCAGACTGTATTTTTGTTTGTTTTAAGTTGCTCAATGTATCTTGGAGATATTTCCTTTTGTTATACACAAAGTTAAGGCACTAACTATAACTAAATACGGAGAAGAAAAGAAAGCAAGAATTAAGCAAGAGAAAACGGTTGTTACGAACAGCAAACAAAAGAAACTAAATGATCCCAAGTTCCATACTGATGTGACCAGTTGTCTCTTTCCCATTCTCAACTGGACCCTGACATTTATCCCCTTCCTATAACATGAACTTAACCATAGAGAGGAAATGTAAAGAAAACGTAAGTGTCCCTTAGACTCACCCTGAAATTCTCAGGATCCACGTGCAACTTGTCACAGTGCAGCTCACTCAGATGGGCAAATGTGCCCTTGAGGTTGTCCAGGTGAGTCAGGCCGTCACTAAAGGCACCTAGCACCTTCTTGCCATGAGCCTTCACCTTAGGGTTGTTCATAACAGCATCAGGAGTGGACAGATCCCCAAAGGACTCAAAGAACCTCTGGGTCCAAGGGTAAACCACCAGCAGCCTAAGGGTAGAAAAATAGCCCAAGAGGCAGAGAAAGTCAGTGCCTTTCAGAACCCCAGGAGTCTTCTCTGTCTCCACATACCCAACTTCCATTCTCCTCCTTAAGCCTGCCTTGTAATCTTGATACCAACCTGCCCAGGGCCTCACCACCAACTTCGTCCACATTCACCTTGCCCCACAGGGCAGTAACGGCAGATTTTTCTTCACCAGTCAGATGCACCATGGTGTCTGAGGTTGCTAGTGAACACAGTTGTGTCAGAAGCAAGTGTAAGCAATAGATGGCTCTGCTCTGACTTTTATGCCCAGCCCTGGCTCCTGCCCTCCCTGCTCCTGGGAGTAGATTGGCCAGCCCTAGGGTGTGGCTCTGCAGGGTGAGGTCTAAATGATGACAGCCATACCTGTCCTTGGTTCTTCTGGCACTAGCTTAGGAGTTTGGCTTCAAACCCTCAGCCCTCCCTCTGTGACATATCTCTTGACCCCATACAATCAGTACAAATTGCTACTAAAAACATCCTGGTTTATAAATGCATTTACATAATATTTGGAGTCACAGCTTGAAAAGCATATTAAAGATTGTTTTCCCAATTTTGTTATTACACAAATAAGAAATTGATGCACAAAAAGTGGAAGAGTTTTGCCTGCTATAATTCAGCTTAGGGATAAGTAGATGAATCTCTTCCTGTGTCTCCAGAATATGCAAAATAATTATAGGACAGAATGGGTGAAAATTCTACCTCAGTTCTAAGTATATCTTCTCCTAATTTGGAATAAAACCTTCTGGTAAAAAAATACACATACATTCATTCATTTGTTGTTGTTTAGGTTTTCTTAATTTGCTCATGCAACTAATAAATGATGTCTAAAAACAGAATAAATACAAATCAGTGTGTTCTGTGTAACAGTTACTTATTAGATTTTGGGAAACCAGAGATGAAAATCTAAGACCTCTTACTGCAATAAAAAATACAAATAAGTAAAAAGTCACTCACAACCCAAAGTGTGACTAACAGTGGGGTAATCAGTGGTGTCAAATGGGAGATTAACTGGGGACATCTAACTGTTTCTGCCTAGACTCATCTGAAAAAGTTTCTGGGAAAACAGCGAAGCTTCTATGACTTAAAAAGTAGGGGTAGGAAAGGAAAAGGTCTTCCAGACTTGGCTCAGATTATTTTTTTTCCCCTAGTCCACTAAGAATACTGTGTTTTAAAATCATTTCCTTGATTCCAGTTTCTAATTTCTCTCTGTATTTTCTTTGTTTAAACCTCCTCTACTAAAATTTACTGTTTTATCCCTATAGCTTTTCAACATTAACTCCTTTCTCCCATCCCCCTGTCCTTTCTTCCCTCTTGTACTAAATTAACTCCTCAGGTGAGGAAAAGCTTTTGAAGTGTAGAGTTCTGCTTCATGCTGTTAAAAGATGTAACGAAAACAGCAAGGGTGGTAAGCATTTCTGAGGCCAGTGTAGGGTCTCAGTGTTCCCTTAAGGCCCTGTCAGTCATTTCGAATTCTGCACCTACCTGGAAGCCCATGTCCTTTTAGTAAGAAAAAGTGTTATATTTTAACTTTCCATGTTTCTTCTGCTTCTTTCTTTCAGCTTTAACACTGAAACTACAATTACAAAAAATAAAATAAAATAAAATTTAGGTTAACCAAAAGAAACTGGATATTCTATTTCTAGCTATTGCAAGAAAATTTATAAATTTATTATTTTCATTGTTCTATTCTCTTAAATACTTTCTCTAATATTGCTAAATAAATAAAGATTTCTCACTTTTTCTACCTGTCTCAACCCGCATCAGGTATTGTAAACAAATTTCACTCTGATGATTCTCACACATGCAGAAAAGGTTTAGCTCTTCTATGGCTATCTGGGGCATAGGTTAAAAAATTATGCCTATATATGATTATAAGGGTAAGTGAGATGAAGTTTAAGTATTTTCTTTTATATTCACTCTTCTGTAATAACCTAAAGCAATGAAGATCTAAGAATATGTGTATCCCTGAGAAAATATTTCACATGTTGCATTCTAGGAAAAGAGGTTGTTAAAATATTTTAAATGTTAAAACATATAGATTTGACTTGACTTTTAGATTTTGGATTTTATTTTATTAAATTTAAACCTGCATTAGCATTGTTTTAGATTCAGACTATTTTCAAGACCCTATTTCACATCCCTGATAGAAGATCCATGTATATGTGAAATCGAATGTTCTAGAGAAGTTTGAATATGTCTTTTGCAAGTATCCCATGTCAAAGAAAATCCACAGACCTTATAAAATTATAATATAAGATATATTTATATTATTCTGAAAGAGCAAAATTGTCAAGTCAACAGCTTTGAAATCCTGATTGGCAGAAATTGTTACCTTCTTAAAGACTTACCCTACAACTTTTACCCTCAGAAAGTTTTCCTCAGTTTTTCTATTTTGTTTTCTTTTCTTAATGATGGGATCCTTCTCTTGTGTTGGCAACTGCTGCAGATACCATCATCCTGGCTTCAAGGCAGGCATTGGTTTTCTAACGGTTGCTACATAGTGTAACTAGAGTAAGACACAGACTTTTCTTTCTATTACCCATAACCCTGCAGGGATAAGGCTGTAAGTTTTACTAAGACCATCAAAAGCCCAGGCATACCAAGCAAAAACAAGTTTTAAGAAGTGACAAATGGTGCAAATGTGTTTATGTTCAGAGCCTCAGGCTCAAATCTAAATCAGCATTCAAAGGCCCTGAAAAACTACTCAAGCTCACTGACATCTTCACAGTTGTGAGCTTGCTTCTACTCTGTGAATAGGTCCCACAGCATGTGCAGGTCTATTCTGTTTTTATTCCAGCCCCACTGACCAACACACACACACACACACACACACAAACACGCACACACACACACAGGCTCACACACACACGTCCTCAGAAAAGAGACAGCGCGAGAGACAGAGGTTCATTTCCTTTACTCCAGTCTGTTAATCTTCCTTAAGTCTAATGTTTCATACTAGAATGGCACTAGTCTGAATATACTTACGAGAATGAATATTAACTTTCAGCATGAAAATCATGACACTCATCTACGGGAGTGTGGTTTTATCATTTGTTTCAAAAACAGCACTTGACTAGAGTGTTTTTATATATGCTCTACTGTTTAACCTAAAATTCCCGAAGTGAGACATTTAAGCAGTCTAGTGTATCTGTTCCTAGGTCAAGCACAGTCTAGCCACTTGCTACAGACTTCTCTCCCAGATTCACAATCTCTCAGTAGCCACAACTTAGTATCTTCTCAGAATTAGTTAATTAAAATGAAATTAAAATGCTCCAAGAAAATCAGAACCCATAGAAACAAACCACATACACACAAAATAGTTTTGATACAGGATAGTTTCGTTCACTTTAAAAAGTTGTATTTCTTACCAAAAAGCAATCAAGTTGACATAGACACAACTTTGCTAAAGTACATATATAATTATTACAGATAAATTTATATTTCAGTCTATAATTTGTTCATTAATATCTTCCCCAAAATGCCCTGAGTAGCTCTGCTTCTGATATGTAAACCAGTGGTTCCTAAACATCCTATTCATATACAAAGGGTTCTCAGTGCCTACTATATATAATGACTCAAGGAAAACACGTGGATATAAAAGAGCTTCGGCTGCCAGTCAGTTCAAAATAATGTGATGAAAACAGTTAACTAT